ACTGGCGGAGCTGCAGAGCCCGCGGTGGCACTGACAAGAAGGTTAGGGCTGGCGAGAGAGTTTGTTTGCTGCTGCTGCACGGGGCAGCAGCAGCAGCAGCAGCAGCAGCAGCAGCAGCAGCGCCAAAGAAGGAGAAGAGGCCCAAGACTAACCACCGCCGCCTCATTCTATTGCTGCTCTAGAGACTCCTGCTGCTGCTGCTGCTGCTGCTGCCGCTGCTTGTGCTGTGGCTGCTGCTTCTGCTTGCAGCGTCGGGATTACTGCTGCAACCTCTGCTTATGGTTCTGCTGCTTCTGCTTCTGCTCGTGCTGCTGCTGCGGCTGCTGCTGCTGCTGTTTGTGGCGGTGCTTCTACTGCTGCTGCTGCTGCTGATTCTGGCGCTGCTGCTGCTGCTGCTGCTGCTGCTAGTGCTTGTTTGGGAGATATGGGGGCTGCAACTGCAGCAAGCAGCAGCTTGAAGACTCAAACTGTCTCCATTGATTGTGCAGCAGCAAAACGAGCAGCAAGGAGACAGGCGCGGGAGCGAAGCAGAAAGGGTTTAGAAAGGGTTTGGAAAGGGTTTAAAAGAGAGTAGCTAGGGTTTACCTAGGGTTTGGGGTTTACCGAGGGTTTGGGGTTTAGGAGGGGCTAGCTAGGGTTTTTTCAGGGTTTGGGGTTTCGGGAAGATTAAATGAGGTTTCCCTAGGGTTTAGGGTTTAAGTAAGATTAACTAGGGCGTCCCTAGGGTTTAGGGTTTAATGAAGATTAACTAGGGTTTCCCTAGGGTTTAGGGTTTAAGGGTTTGGCAGCCCCTGTGGCGGGTGTCTCGAGCTCAACTCACACACACAGTAATGCGGCTTGTGCCTGACCCTAAACCCTCACTGGAAACCCCAAACCCTAAACCCTAAACCCTAAACCCTAAACCCTGATACGAAGTGATCGAGACGCAAAGGAAAACACCTGCAACTTCATGCACCTTAGCCACTAACGCGTTTCCAGCCAACTCAGCAAATAGCCTAAAAGACCTCTGTGGAGGCCCCCTAGGCTCCGTGGAAGGGGGCCCCAGGGGGCCCCCGAGGGGCCCCCCTGGGGCCCCGGGGGGCCCCCAGGGGGCCCCCTCCTTGGGGCCCCCAGAGAGCGCGGGGGGCCCCCCGTGTGTCGACGCAGGTTTCTTCTGCTGCTGCGTCTTAAGCAACTCCAAATTTGAATTTAATTTTAATTTTTAATTTTGTTTTAATTTTGAACAGAAGGGCTGCAGAGCAGAGCCTCCTCGCAGCGAGCTGCAGCCTCCTTCTCTAGCCGTGACTCCAAACCCCAAACCCTAAACCCTAAACCCTAAGCCCTAAACGCCAAACCCTAGCCTGAGAGCTGAGGCCCTGCAGCTCCGTGGCTCAGCGGCCCAAAAGGCCGGCCCTCTTCTCCAAAGGCCTCCCCAGAGTGCTGCTGCAGCAGCAGGGGTCTGGGGCCCCCTGCTGCAGCAGCAGCAGGCAGCTAACCAGCCCTGCTGCTGCTGCTGCTGCAGCTGCTGCTGCGGGCAATGTCTCTGCTGCTCCTCCCAAGCGTCTCTGTGCGCTCGTCTCCTCTGGGGGCCGCTGCACGTCGGGCGGGAGCGGGATCGACTCTGGGATCGCGTCTGGGATCGTGTCTGGGATCGTGTCTGGGATCGTATCCGTGGCCGCATCCCGAGGCTTCTCCGGGCCCCCTCCGTCCCCAGCGCCCCTCCCAGCAGTGTGGGGTCTCTCAAAGCAGCTTCCCCTCTCCAAGTACCCCCTTAAGGGGCCCCTTTTCTGGGGGCCCCCCCCTGGGGCCCCCCCCC